TGCCCCGGAAGGTGGCTGACCTGTCTCGGAGGAGTGGTCTGGGGACTGTGTGCAGGACGTGAAGGCCGGGCTTCTAATGTGAGCTCCCCTGCAGGAGGAGACCATGACAGCCCCCGAATGGGGGAGAGGGGGTGGAGGGTTATGACTTGTGAGAAGGGTAGAGCCTGCCCACCCTGCTTCCTGATGCTCTGCCAGGTGTTTCCTGGCTGGTGTTCCCTCAACCCCACCCCACCCTCGGGTGGAAATTCTGCTTTTCAGTCAACACAGGCACCATTCATTGCCGCGAGGAGGGCACCTGGGGCCATCCGTTGCCCCGGGATGGGTCCCTTGAGAGCTGTGCCCCTCCAGTCAGTACCTGGCCTCCTCTCTCTGCCACCTTCCTTTCCCTGCAGGTCTTGCTTTTTGTGAACGGTCGGCCCCACTGTGTGCTCCCAGGCAGGGGCATGGGGGGAGCGAATCTCCTTTTCCAGGGACCCATTGGAGCAGGGTGTTGGTGGGAGTTGGGGGTCAGGCTGGGGACGGAGGAGCAAGGCTAGAACCGAGGCAGAAAGCCTTCAGGAGGCGTCTGAAGAAAGGAACGAAGGGTGACCCTCAGGTTCTCGACCTCACCCGCATGTCACCTTCCCGCAGGGCCTCCCATGGGATTGCTGGGACCTTGCTGGGTGAGATGGCACTGTGTGCAAAAAAGCGCCCCCCAGGTAAGACAGGCAGGAGTGGGGGGTCCCATGGACTATCAGGGACACCTGATAGTAGGGGTTGTGGCTCCGGGAGCAAAGGGAGGGGACAGTGGTAATGAGTGTGCAGGAGGGTAGATGGGAACGCCTCGTCCTGGGGGAGCCTAGGGAACCCCGTTCTTCCCTTTGATCCCCGAGTGGGTTCCCTGGGAGGGTGCTGAGCGCCTGCCCCTTGGCCCTGCACACAGACCCTTTTCTTGGGGTACCCGGAGCGCCTCTTCTCTGGCCTGGAGAGCTCGGGGAGCTGTTTCCATCCTCCCCCCTCGGTCCTCACACCTCCTGTCTCCCTCCTTTCTCATCCTCCCGGGTCCCACTTTTCCTGCGGGCGGGCGGGGGTGGGACCAAAGCGGTTGCCCCCGACAACACGGTCGTCCCCTCGCCCGCATTGGCCGGACAGGGG